AATAAATACTATACTCATATATACTCATGAGTAATAATTACTTAATATACTGATGTCTCAGGTTGGTTTAAATGAAGATCAGAGCCTATAGTTTTTTTGATGTCCGCAAACCCATCCCCATGTATATCCTCCTTACAAACATACATATTTTGTGCCAGGTATTGGGTTAAGCACTGGATCCTAGTAGAAATATCAGTTGGAGAATTTGATATTCATCATCTGGAAATCAGCGATTAAGTCACTGGGAATTTTTCATGCTGCTGAGAAGTTAATTAAAGTCTATCAGAATAGTTAAAAAACTTGTTTATACAATAAACAAGAAATAGCAAAATGAGAGAAATATAAGGTCTTTCAGGGTAAACTGAGAGGGAATGGAAAGTGAGAAAGGAGAGCAATGTTGACTGTAGCCAGCTTCACAGAAGTGTAGAGCAAAGCAGGGATAAGGCAGTAGCCGAAATGGTCCCTTTATATGAAACAAGTTTTTATGATACATAATTATAATCAAGGAGTAAATAAATCCTTTAAAATACTAAATTAATTCTATAATATTATACATTGTCAAAGGTGTTATTTTATTTCTCCAATTCTCATTTCTAAAGACCACCTAAATCTCTTGCTTCTGACACTAAACTTTCTGCTCTTTGTCTACCCTTTTCTCTTCCTATATTCCCCTTTCTCTTCACAGTTGGTTTAAGCCTACTCAGTTCTCTTGATCCTACTTTATATTGAGATGTTTGAGAAAAATGAGACCTCATATAGTCTATATTTATGAGGAAAGTTGTTAACAACCTCTTTCTAGGAAATGTGACAGTACTTAAAATTTTACTTGTTTTTATTTTTGATGTGACAGTTTTTATTCAAATTTGCATAATGATCAAAACATATATATATATATGTACTTTTTTTGTATTTTAGGAAAGGGTCTACAGAGTGTTCAGGGTCTCACTACTAGATTGGACTCTTAGTAATTCTCCTGTTTACAGCCTCCCAAGTGCTAGGATTATAGGCGCCCGCCACTATGCCCAGTCTCAATCACCCTCTCAGCGTGCCCCAGAGGCAGTGCCAGCATGGCAGGCAGGGGGAGCGGTATTGAACCCCCAACCCCTGCACCTGCTTGCTGACGCTTTAATCCACTGAGCTATTTGGCCAGCCCTAAAAAACATTTTAAATGAAGAATTGATATAGTGCTTGTAATTGCAAAACTTAGAAGCAACTAGAATGTCTGTCAGTTGAGATTTAGTCAAATCAAGTTATTGCATGTTGATATAGTAGAAGTCTGTTGATATAGTAGAAGTCTGCTATGGCCTGACGAAGAAAGACAACCACATTCACTGAGCAAAGCAAGTTGCAGAAGCAAGTTCTGTCTTTGTGTGCATTAACTTACTATTTGTGTTTGTATGTGTATACATTGACATACATCTACAGTAGTAATTTGCACACAGTTACTAGAACAAAGTACATAAACTATTGATATTGGATTTGTTTGGGCGAAATATACCAGATAGAGAGTAGAACAACTCATTTCACACTTATGTGCAAATTGAATATTTGTACTTGAACTTTATAATTTCATAATTTAAACTATCAATAATCAGTAATTAAAATGTGCTTTATATTTATCAGTAAAAGAAAAAATAGCTGAAGGATAACATTACTCTTATTTTTTGTGTGTGAATTATCATTTTTTCCTAAATATAGAGCTTTTCTTTAACTTAACCAAAAAACAAAGGTTCAGATTCAGAAATTCCCTCACTTTTTGACAAAAATGTAAACACACTAAATTCAAAAGGTACATAATTATATACATAAATACAATATGTATCTTTTGCAACATATTCAATGACTGCTTCTTGAGTATTGGCTTGAGAATTATACTTTATATTCAGACTGAAAATATTTTATATTTTATAATGTAAACCACCCAGATTTATCCAAAATGATAAATCTTTCCATCTGGAGTAGCAAAATTATCAAAAAATATATAATGAAATGAAAAATATTAAAAAGGTTAATTAATATATTTTGATACAATCTTTCACTTGCTTAATAGGTAATGAATTAGAAGAAGATCTTGAAATTCTTGAAGAGGCTGCATTACAGGTACTTCCCAAACACTACAAGGATAAATTTTGTTTCTTAGCGTGAAGCAAAATGTTCACAAAATCAGCCTTCTACCTCCTTCTATTCATTGGCAGTTACAGAGACAAATGCCTCATAACTGCTCCCTTAATGAGAAGTGAGTGAAAGTTGTTGTACTATGCGGTGTGTACTGTTTTGAGACTTGGACCAAAATTCTGTGGGAGAAAGAAAAGCAAATCAAGTGCCAGGGGTACAACAGAGGCTTTCGACAGTATGGACATTTAATTGCATTTTGACAGTTTCATTTTGCCAACTAGCAAAAAGTGAAAAAGCATTTCACAAAGGAAGCTAATGGAGTATAGTTGTGCTACAGATTTTGACAGGAAATAGCAAACATGAGGAAGATACATGTTTAATGAGTTTGGACCTGTATGTCTCATTGAGCAGTAGAACCAGTGGGCTGTAAGCAGGGAGTGATTAGTTTTTCACTGTTAACTGTTTTCTTATTTTGAGATTGTCTAGTTATTAGTTAAGTAGTAGATCATTTAACATTGTAATGGAAATACACAATGGAAATACACAAGTATTCAACTTTCAGTTGAAGTGCTCATTGTCATATATAAATCTTCAAAATTTTATTACTCAAAATTGCCAATGGACTATGATACTGCTCTCTTAACTTCAGTACATTTATATAACTATTTAGCTTACAATCACTACTAGGATGAGAACATCAGAATGTATAGGCAGCATTTTTCAAATTGTAACATCTGCTTAGCCCACTGTATGCAGAGACTATCAATGGTAGATGAATTTTGCATATTGAAATGGCATGAAGGTACAGAAATTAAAATGAGAGCCAGACACTCAGTTGGGTTAGTGGTATTACAGGTTTGTAGGATTGTGTAGAAATGCTTTTACCCATACTTAAGTTTGATCTCTATTAGATTAAAAATTTCTGATCATAGGAAGGCAGGCTCTTCACAATAATGGTTAAAAAAATACTTTTGGATATTAAAAAGCCACTGGTTTGTATTTGTTTAGAAAAAAATAGTTTGTTATGCCTTAGGATAAAATAAAAATTCAACAAACATTTAATTAATAATATATCAAGCAGTATTCAAGTTTAGGAGAGCTGTTAAGGATCTGCTAAATTATCATTTCAGACATTGTGATATATAAGATGTCATCAAGGCATACGAAGAACTCTTTATCGTGCTCCTATTGAAGGAAAAAATGCTATCACACATTTCCTGTATTTTGGGGCTGCAGTTGTGATTTAACCTGTATCTAGCACCTTGTATATGTCAGAGTAATGATTTATGTTTTTTTCATTTAAATATTGTAGTAGCCATGTAAGAGAGATACATTTTGTGGATTCATGGGTGGCAACACTTAACTGAAGAGGACATAGCACACACAGCTCTTTACAGAGCCAGGATTTGACTCTAAATATGACAGTTTTTGAAATTGCATAAAGTATAAGAACCACCAAGATAGCTCAGTGCTCTAGAGCACCTTCTTAGACAGTTGCAGGGGATCACAGTTCGATCCCTGGCAACACAGGCCATGCCAGCTTTGCCCTCATGGTGGGCTGAGTGGGCCCGAGAGAGAGAGAGAGAGAGAGAGAGAGAGAGAGAGAGAGAGAGAGAGAGAGAAAAGAAATTGAATAAAGTATAAAATGTAGACATTAACTGCTGTATTAATTTGATACTTCTGGAAGTATAACCAAAATATTTTTTTCTTTCTTTTTTTCTTTTTCCTTTTTTGCTTCTTAGAGACAAGGTTTCACTGTGCATCTCAGGCTGGCCTTGAATTCACTTTGTAGCCCAGGCAGGCCTTGCACTTGTGGCAATCCTCCTGCCTCAGCCTCCTAAGTGCTAAGATTACAGGGGTGTACCACGACACACAGCCTTGATATTTATTATTTAAAATTTTCTTAAAGTCTGAGGGCTTGGCTTTGTATCTCAATAGTGGAGTGTTTGCCTAGCACATATAAGGCCCTGGGATCAAGGCTTGGTATTGGGGAGAAAGTTTGTCAGATTTGAACATTTATCCAAAAACATTAGGTTTGCTTGTGAGATTAAAAACTAAGATTTCATTTTTATCTGTTTTTCTTTAATAAGACTTAGCCTCCTGAGTTTTATGTGCCGTCATAGTCAAGCTTCTGTCCACAAGTCAAGGCCTTGATACTCATCTACCCAAAAGAGCAAATGCTATTTGCTAATAAAGGTGACTTGAAAAGAGGGAGACCCCCATAATTGCCTAGATATTATATGGGTATAATATCTAGAAGGCTGATATGGGGGAAGGTACACCATTTCACCCAGCATGAAGAACTCTGATAAAACACTGATTTGTAAGGGCAAAAAGAGACTGTGAAAGTATTCACTCATATTTTCCCTCCTAAACATTTCTATTTTGTGGACTAAAAGGAGGTACACTGGGGCCTGAAGGAAATAATTTCCCCAAGAAGGCCTAACTAAAATGTGTGTACTTTGGAAATATTCATGTAAAATTCTGTATAGTAATTTGAGATGTCACTAATCTTTTTTTACTTAACAGGTGTGCAAAACTCATTCTGGTATACTTGGGAAGGGTTTAGCTCTTTCTCATTCACCTACTATATTAGAGGCACTTGAAGGAAACTTACCACTTCAAATCCAAAGCAATGAGCAGTCCTTTCTGGATGATTTTATTGCTTGTGTCCCTGGATCAAGTGGTGGAAGACTTGCAAGGTAATGTGCCTTAAGTACTATAGTTACATTCTCTTAGGGTGACATTTGTGAGGACAGGAGTTCCAGGTGTTAAATTGTTACCTGAAATATGGTTTATATGTTTCGAACTTGATAAAGTATAAAATGGTAATATGTTAAAATATTGATTCTTTTGCTTCCATGTGCTTTTTTCTTTTTTAGGATTAAAATACACACTTCCCTTTGTCATTTTACCAATAAAAAATAAAAATCTAAAAGGGAATGTAGCTCAGTGAAATAGTGCTTGTTTGGCATGCATGAGGCTTAGGTTCAATCTCCAATATTATGAAGGGAAGGAGGCAGGCAAGCAGGCAAGAGGAGAAGAGGGAGAAAAACCTTAAGTTCTTGAAGGTTTAACTTTAAAGTTACAGAAATTACTTAGTTTTTTAAAATAAAAAGTATGGACCTGACAAATAGCTCATCTGATTAAAGCACCTGCAAGCAGGCACAGGGATCCGGGGTTTGATCCCCAGGCCTGCCAGGCTGGCCCTGCCCCTGGGGCGCACTGAGACAACAATTGAGACTAGGCATGGTGGTTTACGTGCCTGTTAATCCCAGCTCTTGAGAGGCTGTAAACAGGTGGAATACTGTGAGTCAGATCTAGTAATGAGATCCTGAACACGCTATAGTCCCTTCCCTAAAATACTAAGTAGATAAATAAATAAATAAATAAATAAATAAATAAATAAATAAAAATAATGAGAGAACTGGAATAGAAAATCTCTTTAAGTTAGCTTCAATGCTGTCTTTGTAGATATTTTTATGTAATGCTTGATAAAATTACTGCTCACTTCACAGAACAACTTGAATATAAATCATGAATTAAATTCAAGAACAGATATCACAGACTAGAAAATTGGGAACTATTACACAGAAATGAAATAATTAGGCATACATAAGCAATTGTGTGAAGAAAGTATGACCAGTCTACCTGGACCCTTGGTGCTCTCAAGCAAGCAGAATACCATTTCTGTCCCTGCTTTCACAGAGGAAGTATTGTTTCCTATGTTTTCAGGCTGATGAAGGCAGGCCCTCTTCAGTAAGAATAAGTGTCCTCACCACTGCAAGTTAGGTGTCACTCTCGTTTTTCTCAGATATCTTAAACTAGTTTTAGTTAAAGTTTCAAATTTTCTGATATTTTAAACTATCTTCATATTACATATAAATACCAGAAATCTCACATGTTTTGGCATGTTTATTTATATTTGTCATTAACAATACCCAAGGGAAACCACTATCAGTGAATTAGAATTTAAGATATTGTTCTAATATTTTATTTGATACATGTTTTGTTTATTAGACCTACTTTCATGTTAATCACTGAAGATACTGATTGTTTGCTTTTTGTTTGTTTTCAATACTTTTAGGTGGCTTCAGCCAGATTCCTATGCTGATCCTCAGAAAACATCATTGATCCTCAATAAGGATGATATTCGTTGTGGTTGGCCCACCACCATAACTGTTCAAACAAAAGACCAGTATGGAGATGTGGTACATGTTCCCAATATGAAGGTAATTCTGAATTTAAATGAGATATGTATGTACTGACCTCTGTAACTGATAAAATTTTGGGAATGACAAGTGCTTGAAGTCCATTTCTTCTAGCATCTTTATGTATATGTAATAGAGGACAATGAAAAACTGTTTAGGATCTTTTTGTTGTTGTTGTTTTGGCTGGTTCAGGCTGCCTTAAGGGCTGGTCTCCTGTGGCATATGGAGCTGGGGATCAAACTGCGGTCCCCTGTGCCTGAATTTGACGAATCAGGCACTTTAAACAACTGGGATAACCTGCAAGCCTCCTGAAAAACTGTT